GAGAGAGAAAAGAGAGTTGTACTGTACAAATATTGTAAATTAGGTGTTCCTGACGCTAGCAAATTATGCTATAAACTGCAATCCTCACCCATTTTTCTCACACATCACTGAACTATTAAAAAAAAAAAAAATTCTAATTGAACTGAAATGAGATAAAGATGAAATGCTGTCATGGTTGGGGAAGGGGGAGGGTTGCTTAGCAAATGACTCCACAGTATTCCACCCTTTCACATTTCCTACGATTGATCGACTGATTCCCTTCTGATGACATCATCGTCTTCATTCATGAAGAAGTCCTTCATTGCATTGATCCACTGACGTATCCAAGCTCACCCATCAACCATCGTCCTCGAGTTCAACCTTGATGAATGACTGTCATCGAGATGGACGGTGATGACGTATGAAATCAAGGCTAGGTAATGTACGCTAATAATGTCAATAAGCCTGTCATGATTGTAGGACTTGGTGATAGGGTATGATCGAAATACAGTTTAAGGGAGGGAGGGGAGGGAGAGAGAGAGGGAGAGAGAGAGAGTGAGAGAGAGAGAAAGAGAGAGCACGGATACAGTGAGAGAACGAAGAAGTATAATGAAATGAGAAAGTTAGAAAGAGCCAGAAAGGCAAAGAAATAAAGATATATGGTAGTGAGAGAGAGAGAGAGAGAGAGATAGACCACAACCATTTCATTTCATTTTCATTTCAAAGACTTTATTTTCTGCAATCAAACAAATCAGTTATACAACAAATATGGATAATTATATAAAACATAAGGTATGCAAACAATATACAAAATATAGAAACAAATGTATAATACATGAGTAAGAGTAAACTTATACGTTGGGCCATTGCGTGTATAAAGAAAGAAAGCAGAAGGTCGCCGTTATAAGCAAAAGCTTGAGTAGACGGTCAACCGAGCTAAAATAAAAATGAGATGAGATCATCATTGTCATCACACCGTCTCTTTTTGCGACCGTTATTATCATCACTGTCATGGTTATATTGTTGCTTTCTCATCTTCATTATCATGATTATAGGGATTTTGCGAAAGGTATAAACAAAACATGTCCATGCCATATTTGTAAAACTCATTCATTCTGGAAATTATCATGAATCGACCAAGAGGGTGTTTCACAAAACTTTTCATCAGTAACAAATGACAGTTGGTGTTATAAGCTACCGAAATCCTTGCTTCTGATTGGTTATCAGCAGATTTGTCACTGATATTTGTCATTTGTCATTGAAAAAAGGCTTTAAGAATTAAGAATAAATATGCGTAGTAAGGAAATCAAATTGCAAATTGCTCCTTTAAATTACTGTAAGTGTGTCAGAAAGTGTACTGATCTCTCGCTCTCTTCGGCAAATTATCGGAAAAGGTAATACATTTTGTATATCTTAGAACCAATGATTACCTTGTCGGCTAATTTGGTATGCTGCGAAAGTATGTAGGTTAGTTCTTTTTGTATGGACATGGCAGCTATATTTTGCCATTTGCTTCGACACCCCTCCCTCCCTGTATAAGATGGCTAGCTACTCCCTAAATATTGAGGCACGAAATTGAAGAACAATTACAAAAATCAGAGAAACAACCTTTATTTCAATCTCCTCTCCCCATTGAAATGCCAAATTATATTGTATTTCTTGTATTTTTAAATTTTTTCAATTAAGGTAATTTGTACGCGCATCATGAACCGTTTGCGAATGACTTGGGGAAATCAATTGAATTATCAATTTGCATTATTATTAATACTTGTTAACTTTTCCCATATATGGGAACTGTGAAGGAGTGATGATAAGTGAATTCCAATCACAGATTGAGGGAGAACTTATTTGAAATAGCATTCACGAGTTATAAAATAATGGAATAGGGAATACTGATGTTCTGTAAACATGACTGAAATTAATTAATTTGGTTCCTTTTCTATACATTTACCAAATATGCAGACATTATGTACAGATGTAAGACATAGGAAGGCCATTTTCAATCAAATTTTATCAGGTGCTAATAATTAACCTTTCCCTATCGCTTCCAGAAAGATTCTTTGACAATGCAACCGCATGACCAGAAGTTAGCTTTATGTTTAAAAAAAAAAAAGCCTAATATGCTGATTACTGTAAATAACAAGCACTCATATCATGTAATTCAGCATGACAGTTCTGGGCAAAAATTTCGACTATACAGATTCAACAGATTTTCAATATTCATAATGATTAATAACACGTATTAGAATGTTTTTGTTATTATCTATTTCCATCATTTCAAGACAACAAATGATTTTCTCTTACATATTAAGATGTTGCGCTCTTGTAAGCTTTACAACAAGCTTCTGTAATTTGCATTTAATTGTATAATATTCGGGTTAATATTTGTTGACAATGACAAAGAATCAGGGCATTCTACATACCCAGATGAAGTTTTTAAAGTAGCCGTTTTGAGCTTCGGGAATAAAAAACTCGGTACTGTGTCGATGTGGCAATTGTAAATTCATTTGGAAAGAAATAGATTACCGAAGCTGTGACGTCATAATTAACTTTTGTGGAATTTCTCATTTTTTTCTTCATTTTCCGAAAGAGCATCAAAAATAATGTCCAAATGTCGAAAACCAATTGAATATCAAAGTATTGGCTGAGATATGACCACCTGGATAAAATGATTTCATATAGGAACTCAGTGTTATAGTGCTCTGGCTCCTAATGTTATGAACTATACTTAACCTATTTAATTGTTTTGCAGCGTTTGGACATTATTTTTGGTTGTCTTTCGGAAAATGAAGATAAAATGAGAAATTCAAAAATTAGATTTTTGATTACGTCACACTTCACCACTCTATAACACGACTGGAAGTTAATATCTCGGGTGGTGATTCTCGTCCACTATTGTGCCATGGCTGATACTTGAAGCTTCATTAGCTTTTTTTGTCTCAAGGTAACAATTAGTGCTATCTTGAAGGTCAACAGGGTACATAAAAATGTGTCAAAGTGTCGTATGTCCTGTTACGTAATCATCACACAGATTGGCATCAGATTGACATTGGAAAGTCAATAATGGATGCATAATTGACGTTAAAACAAAGACGGGTGGGTTCCCCAATTAGAGTTAAAATTGCCCCAATTATCTTGCCCAAAACGATTATTGTCTCAAATTAGAGGCACGTGTAGATAAAATTTTCCTCTTCGATATTGAACACACAGTCGAATCAGAAAACCATCGAGTTCATAATAACATCGGTATATTGAAAAGCTTTAGCTCACCTGTGATGTAACATATGCTTCGAAGAAGAAATATACCAGATGTCTTCAGTCCCCCCCCCCCCCACAAAAAAAGGGGGGGGGGACAAAAAAGACAAATTCAAAAACACTATTACATTGAGCGGGTAATCCAAAATGAACTGCAGATTGAATCAAGTATACGCGAAGGTAGCAAACGCACGACCCCCCCCCCCAAAAAAAAAACAAAAAAAAACAAAACAAAAACAAAAACAAAAACAAAAACAACCTTTGTCAACAAAACGGAAACACCCACACGGACACCCACACCCATCCACCCATCCTAACGCTCACGCTCGAAAGAATACACTCACACGCACACCCATCCACCCATCCTAACGCTCACGCTCGAAAGAATACACCCACACGCACACCCACACCCCTCCCCACACAGACTAAATTTCCCTTCCTTACCAAAAACTACTACTACCACTACTTCTACTACTACTACTAGTACTACTACTACTACTACTTCTACGTCTAATACTACTACTACTGCTACTTCAACATATACTTTTACCACACCTACTTTTTCTATTTTTACTACTACTTCTACTATTATTATTATTATTACTACTGCTACTAATATTACAATTTCTACTGCTGCTACTATTATTACGTCCTTTGCTGGTTATTATATTACAATCGCATGCACTTGGATATCCTACTTGAAATTTGAAATATACTACTTGAAATTTGAACTATCACCATGCTTACTACTGATCCTGCTCAGTCACCATGTACATACATCCATATCATCTAATGCGACTCCCGTGATTAGATAACTAAAGACACTTTGAAATTAATATGAAGTGCTTGATATCAGACGTTTTTATTGTTCCTACCCATTATTTTCACAGATAATCTTACATTTTATTTGACAATATTCACCATACTTACTATTTTGTTCTTTTAATTTTCATTCAAAATTTCAAGCGCCATCACAATGTAAAGCGAACCTAATTTGTCACCTAAACTACGTACAAATCGATGAAATTTTACCCTTTCTAGTACTGAAAAGTAAGAGAACACGCATTATTATATGTTTACACTTTGTATGAATATCATCACATTATCACAGCTCCAGTATAAACCCATGAGAGGTTTCATTTGATAGATACTAGTAAGGTGTTGTTTACACTGAAACCAATCTCTGAATTAGAAGATAACATTGGCGTCAAATTAGAACTCGTTCTTGTTTTCAGCTGGATGGGTCCAGTCAACGAGTGGGCACTGATCTTCATTTCTTCTGATAAGTAATTAGTTCAAAGTCCTATTTGTCATTTGTGATTTAAAGACTCGTGAACAATGGGGATATTTGAAAATGGCATTTAACATGCTCTTAAAGGCTTGAAAGCATACTACTAGACAGCCAAAGTGATCACCCGAGAAGAGATTATCTTTACAGGGGAACTTTTCTATCGAGAAGATCCTTCCATTAACGGCTACAACTTTGCATGAAATATAACACAAGTCTCATTTTAAAATTATTTTGAAAAAAATAAAAAGCACGTAAACATACTTTTAGCATATATTCACATTCAATATTCTTCAGATGATTAAGGGGGGGGGGGCGTACTTTGCCATTACTGAAGATATAGACGATGCAGCTGAATAAATCCATTTATACGGTCTTTTGAAGAGCACATTTCTCATATATGAACTAAAATCGTTTAATAGAGACTTTCACTTTGACAAAATTTGATGCTCTGATATAAGAAAGGCTTAATCTTTACCTCAGTTAAAGACATGAAAAGGAAATCCATCCCTTGTGATAAGTTCATTTTTATTAAGGCAGAAAATAAGATACAAAAAATGACGAATTAAATCGGACAAATAATAATAAAGTTATCATCGTTTTAAATATGAGATCACTAATAAGTCTATGCGAATCTCAATTTGGCAGTTTGGTCATGAGACTGTGACGTAATCGCGCATAAATCTCCCCTTTGTTGTGTACAAAATATCATTTATTTCTGTTTTTCTCCTAAGAGCCTTCTCTCTTGTTGCAACACTAAAAATATATTATGGATAGCTTATTATTGTTATTACAGGTCCTTCAAAGAGAATAAACCTTTCTGAGTCACAAATTTGTATAAAATATAAATTTGAGTAATTTCGTGTCTTGGAACAAATAGGAGAGTTGTCCGCTACTACATCGCAGAGATATTACCGATTCAGCCAATTTTGTTTCTCAATATTTGTCCGACTTCATTAAAACTTTTCCCAGTCTACTTCTCTGATTTGTCCTACTTTCCTCCAGAGTATTTGATATTAAGGTTTAATTTCCCGTTAATCAAATATAGATTAACTGGATATCATTCCCTTTATGACAGGACACCTTCATGTATTGTACACATTACTCTTTAACCATAAAATCACACTAGTATTATCAACTTCGTATTAAAAATATATATAATAGAATTATTGAAATTGTGTATAAATCCATCGAAAACATGTTTAAAGAATAGTGAACAGTTCAAGCAAAATCAATTTTGGGTGTTCGAAGTCGTTTCTTTTGCTTTGTTTTGAAATGCGTTCATAAAACCCGTCAGCATAAAAAGGCACTACTAATCTCACGTTAACCCTTGACCCGAGTACAGTTATGCTATCTTTCCTTTCATAGTTATTGTGTTAATTACATCAATCTTGACACTAAACCTACATGAAGCGAGTAGTAGCTTTAAACATTACAGTACACGTCTGCATTTGAAATTCCTAACATTCGTATTTTTGGTGATAAAGATAAACAATAGATTGGTTTGATTTCTCGCGTTCCTCGGAGACATTCAAGAGGATCTTAAAACCTGACGTCTAAAATGATCTTTATCTGACCTGTCATTCAAATAAAATGAAGCTTAATATTAGCAAAATAAATCTTGAATTGGACATTCATCGTTTTTGTTTATTGGCATGCCTTAGTTTTAAAAGTGTTGATAGGTCATTTAATGTTTTGATAAAGCCTTACTCATGTTCATGCAGCATTTTACAAAAAGAAATATGTCAGAATGACATCATTATAAAATGAATCATTGATTAATTAATTATGAAAAACAAAGGTCCTTTACTTTCCAAACACCAACATTAAAATCATTTACAATACATACAATTATGAAGGACATAATACATAGGAAAACCTCTCAGTGAACAAATATAGTAAAAACCGAATATGGGAAAATCTTAGAATGTACAGATCTGGCAACGGCAGGCTTCGGGTTGTTTTAGAGTCACTTGGTGAGTGAAATCTGGATCTGTGATTCCTAGGGCGTGATCGTAGCAGTTTGTCATGACAACCTTCTTGTGAACCATCCCATGTTCTCTGCAACAGTGACATTTCTGAAATAGCAATCAAAGAACAGAAGATAGTTTGTAAAGAATATGAAGTAGTTAATCCCTAAAGGCATATTGATGCGCTCGAAGATAACGCATTTCTAGATTACTTTCTTGAAAGAGAAGGTAGAATTCTTGTAAAGATGCAAAATAGTTTTGAGCTCTATCCCTCTTTTAAAGGGTTACCTACACTAAACCCGTAACAAAATGAACAATCTTTTAATCTTCAAGATCTTAAAAAAAATAATCCTGAACCACATTTTGAAAGTAACAAATCTACCTTTTTTTGTTACTGTATATTTAAAATGAATTATTCTGTTATTTTACTACTGTATGCATTTTGAAATTATTTGCAACAAGAAGGACTAAAAGCTGCACTTCGTAATCATTTATCTCCGACAGCACGGAAGTAGTTTCATTTATATGCGATAAACTTTTCAAAAACAATCGCTCAACGGTTCTTTTGTTGCCTCCTTTTGTTCAAACCGGTTAATAAAACTAGCTTTCGTGTGGCCAACCTAATGGTCTTTGGTCTTAGATCCAATATTATGTTCATGTGACACGTGCTCAGTTTTACCCGTCAACATAATAGAAAAACTGTTGATTTTATTAGAGGTTTAAGGTAAGAACATTTTAAAATATTTTCATGTTTTGCTTGCATTATAAACTACAAATAGTCTCTTACAATAAATGTACACCTATTGATAAAAAGAACATAGTTTCAATCAAATATTTGCAATTTTAAAGCTCACTCAAACTAGTACTATTTTATTAGATTATGAACCCTTTTCCCCACTTCTTAAGTCAATATTTCGATTGAGACCTTTATAAGAACACAAAACGCCTAGGGAACCATCCAAATTGTTTAATTCTAACGTGACTCAGTGAAACAAAACAATTATTCTTTCTTTCTCTTCGGTTTTGTTCCAAGTCGGGAATTCCTTGAGCATTTAAAACGAGCATCAACGGAAATAGCGTTGTAAGCAGGTGGTTTTGATTTGGATGTTTCCACGACGATAGGTTTGCCATCGACTATTTCTTAATGGATCTCAAAAAGGTACCATTCTTACACGGACTTCCCTCTTTCCTCTGGTTGCTCTACTTCCTGTCAACCCTCTAACAGTCCTTCATATTATGACCTTTCATGTATCCTCTTTATCTGGGAGAAAATCCCTGAACGAAATGCGTTTCAAAGTTTGTCTTCATCGAGATGTAATTGTTCGATATCACGAGGCAAAGTAATTCATTATAGACATGGTAGTCCAGACCTTCAAATTCTAAAATGTTTGTTATGTTTCCATGAAGGCAAACGCAATGCTAATAAGATGTAATGTCCAAGAGAAGAAAAAATATAATCATCAAAATCAGGAAAGAAATGGGATAAATCATCCCCCCAAAATAGACATCATGACTTACGAGGATGCAAATATACATAAAGGAAATGGATAGGGAGAGGGGAGAAAGAGGAGGAGAGGGAGGAAGTGAGAGCGAGAAAGAAAGAGAAAAAGAAAGAGAGATAGAGAGAGGAAGAGATAGAGAGAGAGAGAGAGAGAGAGAGAGAGAGAGAGAAAGAGAGAGAGGGGTAGAGGTGGGAGGGAATTAGAGAAACGGGAATGATAAAAAGAAGAAATGACGGTGTTAGTTAGGGTGTGCGATCATGATATTGTATCATTTTTACCAGTGTTTACACAGATATGGAAATTGTTTACATAGGTAGATGAAACACTCATGCGTTAAGAGGTTTCGAGAAAATGATGAACACGAGCCTCTAATCGCAATTTCAGCGGATCCGTAATTCACACCACCTTCGCAAAAATGACTTCTTAAATATTATTAATCATTAATAATTCGGGAGGAGAGCAGTGTGAAAAGCAAACTTAATTAATGTGATCCCTTGCCTCTCTTCCGGTGTGACTAATTTGGATATCAATTATGTAGCACCATGATAATACCAGAGAGGCGGGGTAGAAAGCGTTGTAACGCACTCTCTCACTACTATATGAATCCCCCTACAAATTTTGTTTTTCAACTTTTGTTGACAAGCTGACACTTTTATGACAACCCTTTATAACTTGTTTATAACATAACAGTTTACCCATGTACCATGTATACGTCTAGAAATGTATATATATCGGGACATTACTGAGTATAGAACTGCAAGGATTTGCTGGTTTCACTTTCCCCCTTCTTTTTTTGTTGGTTATTGTACTCCGGTTTTCTTTGCTATTAAGCTTTTCTTATACTCATTCACGTAACTGGACATGAAACAAAATAAAGTAAAATAAAACTTAGAATAAGTTTTTAAATAAGCCAATTGTAAGATTTTACATTAACAAAAATGTGCATGCTTCCCTTAGGTGGTAAGTTATGAGGGAATAAAGAGTTCGCGTGAACAAAATTCTTTCTCGTCGTCACATTTTCTTGGTATTATCACTATGGTGACGGATAATGATGAGTGACGACCACTTACTGGTATGATAGAGTAACGATCGGGTAGAGCACCACGTGACCCAAACCACCACTGTACCATGCACTCATGCATGTACCCTGTAATATTCTATTTAATATATGAAGATCATTGAGAGAGCACGTAGGTCACGTGGATAGGGTGTTAACCTGAATAAAGTACAGTACTAATGTGATGCGATGAGGGGGAGAGGATGATATCAATGAAAGTGTGATTAATTGGTCAATATTAGCTGAGAAACACGTCACGTCTTCCTGACTTCATTCATCCATGCCTCAAGTCTAAGTGAATACCATGTAGGCGAGGGTGCGGGGGAGGGGGTGTGGGGAGGGGCTACATGATATGAACAGAGGAAATAATAGATCGCGAGATACAGAGTCATCTTACTTTAAAGTAAGTAGTATGAAAAGAAAGAAAGCGCCTTCCACCTTCCTCTAAGCAATATGGGACTTTTTAGACCAGCGCTTCTAAACTGATGAGCCGGGATGTCGGCCAGAAAGACATAGGCCTATGTTTTTCGAGATTTTTTTTTAAAGAATGTGTGATCTTACATGTCGAAGCTGCAAATCAGCTTAGATTTACATGTACCATAATGAAAATGTCTTTTCTTGTTTTGTTCGCTCGCATCGCTCGCTTCGCTTGCTTTGCTCACTCACGAGATTTATACACAGAATGGTAAAATAATATTTAACCAGAAATCCTCAGGATCCTTGCCACTGCTTACGGTTTTAGATCTCCTCTGTGAATTTGTCTACCCGTGATGGATAAAATGGACAATAGTGTGTTTCAGGGTTAAACACGCCCGAACATAACGCTCGTTCGCATGCTCACTCGCTTGTACTAGTTGGGAAGATCTAGATAAATATGTGCAGGTGAAGGGCGCAATAATACTTACACTCGCCACTGCTTACCTTCACAATTCGTCCTCTGTTTTCTTGTGTCACGTTTTATTGATATTTTTCTCAAGTGTTTTGTAAGGTGGGCCTTGAAATATTTCTATCAGCCAAAGTAGGCCTCCAGTTTTCAAAGGTTGAGAAGCGCTGTTCTAGACGTTTTGAATAGCGAGTTTTTGTTGGAAGGGAGTAGAAATCGGATTAGAAAGAAATATGTGCCTAGTGTTGGTATAGGAACAAATGTAATCAAAAGAGTAACGCAAATTAGATACCTTGGAATCTTAATTGATGAATACCTTGACTTGAGCAAGCAAACAGATATGCTTAAAACTAAATCATTTTCTGTTGTAAAGCAATGGTAGTTTTTGATATCAAGAAATAAGAATAAATGTTAAAATGGCTTGCCATAAAAACAAAGTAATACGCAAGCCAAATACGCAAAAATGTGACTGAGGCACTGTTGTATTTGTATACTTTGTATTGCGTCTTATATTCAATTGTATATATTTCGTATGTAATTTATGTATGTATTATGTATGCACGGACTTGCAGACAAATAGCCATTGGCTGAAGCAAGTCATCCATGTTGAAATAAAATGAAATGAAATGAAATGAAACGAAATGAAATAGCTTGGTACATTTCTTGGGTACCCAAGCACATAAACGTGGCAAGACATGGTGCCCGACATCTTCTTCCTCGAGCACTTTACATGCTACTTATCGACACCTTCAACTTTTATGGTGTCATCACGTGTCTGTTACAAGAATGGTGCTCATTTCTTGAGGCCAGGCGTGTTTTATAATACTGGTCATCGTATTGAGTGACATGTAGAGAGATAGGATTAATGACCACTACAAAATGCATCAAACTCACGTAGGTATTAAAGGGTATGTTGGACACAGAACGAGGACATAAGGTAAACAAAAGTCCACAAGCTTCCACATTCCACATTCCACGGCACGTCACTGATGATTTAAAGGGATAGTTGAGTTCTGTTGCAGAGGGTGCTACACAAATTTTTTTTTGTGAGATAATGAAAAACTGAGTGCCAAATTTGAAAGAACATAATATTTAAATTACAAAATCATCTTTGTTTGATCAAAATCGGTTCAGAGACGGCTGAAATATAACGATTTATAATAATACTTGTGTACAACCACAAAATATTGGATATTTTGAAACATTTGAAAAAAACGTTGAAAAAAACGAAATAACGCCTTTTACGTCGTATTTCAACTAATGCCGATGTTGGCTTTTTTGTTGGCATTTTCGTGTAGCTTATATTATCCACAGTTAGCCGGCTCATGTATTGTTATTTTTAATTAAATAACTAATGAACGGTCACCGTGTTTTTTTTTTTTAAAGTAGAGCTGAATTGGTATGATCGCATTAGCTAAATGTCACACATTTTGAGGTCTAAAATTACCTTTATCGCAATTTTTGGTTCTAAAAGGGCACTATAAATGTCAAAGATAAGAATAAAAGCAATAACCATGCACTTTGAAGGCTTTTGCGGTCTGAAAACAGAACTCAACTATCCCTTTAGGCTCCACTTGTTTTTTTAATTTCTTTTCTTATACGAATAGCTTCGATCAAAGGTATCGATGTAATCATTGAATAGAATCTATGAGCCAAAACGCTCGAATAATATTCAAATCTATAAATGAATCTTAACATACATAAATAAGTACTTATGATCCTAATTCCTAACAAATGTAGGATCAGGAATTAAACACTTTTTTCTGAGTACGATATAGGTTAAGAAACGTCTTTTTACAACAGCAGTACAAGTAATACAATGCGATGAACATGTCAGATTGATTTCTAAATCACTACTTTTTTTTCTATAAAGAAAAGCTAGATACAATTTGCAAATTTCAGTTATGCTCCATATTATAGGCCCTATCTCAGGACCGTAATGTGATGATGACGAAGGGAAGAAAACAAGTAATGTAAAGGTAATGTTCAATCAATATTGCCCCCATTTAGCAGGTATTCATGTGTACCTCTAAGGATATTTGTCTATGGAAATAGAATTGAGTGGCATTGTGGATCGAGACTCCTATTGATCTCCCATTCATGATGACCCATTTTAATTTCCCTTTGGATAATGCATAACAGTTGCATGAACTCCCTGATGAATAGGGGAATGAGAACCTCATCGCCCTCAATAATTACCAAAATCGAACGTATATTCAGTTATCCCGAATTCACCAGGCTTACGGTGTCGAGATAGCATACGCACAATAGCAAAACTAGTTTTAAATAGTAATAATATAACGAGTTTACAAAGAGAGAATTGCGATGACAGGCGAATGAATATATGAACTCCCGTGCGATGATACACAAAGGGTAAGCAAATATAACAATGCCTCAATTGTATCTTGAGGTTTTCTTTGAAGTAGCGTTTTCTTTCTCAACCTTCGGGTTAAATTCTCGGTGGACTCTCTCTCTCTCTCTCTCTCTATCGTGTACTATTTTTCTTTAAAAACTTTGAATTCTTGAATATCAGTATTGTTCAGATATATCGACTAAATCATTCATAACGGTTTATATATTTGCTCCCGACCACTTCTTTTAGCCAACCTTCTATTATGAATGAAACGTAAAAGTGGCATGAAGACCGGATGGATTTCGATTTTCAAATCATAACAAAGAAAGTATTTACTTTAACGTCTCATGATGTCACTTGGGATTTTAATTATTAATCATGGTCCTTCTTTAGATTATTTGAACGGAGTTGATATAAGGAGACACTCAGCGTAAAGGGAATGTCGCTAACTTAGACCTTGTTAACACTGGTTGACATTGGTGTGCAGCTGGGTAGGAAGTGTTCTATATTCCTCCCATTATGTTTCCGTGCGATATGATATCCGTTGCTTACTTATATATGCTTTGTATCAATGGAGATGGCACGGAATGGTACGGAACAATTCCAAATATAACGGGTTATCCGTACTTCATCTTTGAAATGGGAGGAAAAGTGCATTCACTCGACATTTATAGTATACTTTTGCCTGGGTCATAATTGGGATCTTTGGCTCGCATTTGTTAAAAGCGTCTTAATTTTAATTCAGGTTTAAGTGCGTAAAATCAGTCCAGTGATTTAAAGGGAACTTCACGTGTCATCCCATAAAAACATCATGCATGAATTCTAAATAAACAAACAAAATTCTCGTCATCTTAAAATCGACTTTCATTTTCATTTCATGACTGGGTTCTGTTTAATCATTTCGTTACACATATAATATTATATAAAGATCGTATAACAGCAGGTGTACCTCTGCCCACCTTTACAAACATCTGGCCTTTGTGTTTCCTCATTGACCGAATGAAAAAAGAAGGGCCGTTTAGACAGCAAAATATAAAACTCACGGAGTACATGTCCTATCGGCATCACTTCTTTCAGCTTTCTTAACGATATATTACCATTTGAAACAAATCCTGACACATAATTATGTTACGAAATGACAACCCAGGGAACACACACACAAGCATATACCTAACGTATAAACTCACACACACTCACCCACACACGCCCACACACATAAAAAGGTTATTGGGACTCAAATGAACGCTCTATGAACGTGTTAACGCCCTCCGGATTATTTCTTTTCAAATTGAACCCTGTTAACCATAATGCATTGGGGTGATTGTAAGGGGTGCGTATAGCTCCGCCTCTGAACCAAGCATTCACTAATTTACGTTTTGCAGTTAATATAGTGAGAGTGGGTGGACACTGGATATTAAACTTCATTTTTCGTTTTCTTTGCAAGGGTGATTGGCAGGTTTTGTACACATTCAGGGTGTTACGATCCGTCTCTTACAATAATTTCCCTCGAGCATTTGCAATGTTTGTCGAAATGTCCTGCTTAGTGTTCACCATTCATAAAACTAGGCCTTGTGCGAGGGTGTGATCGGTAACCAAGGGGCTCATGTTGACTCAAACAAAAGAACGAGGAAGGGGGAAATGGGCCTTGGAAATGAAGATTGCGAGAACGGAGACAGTAAATAAAGTGGGCGATGGAGATGAATAACACTTTAAAGACGGAAGGGTTAAACAAAGATTTAAAACGGCCGAAGAGCGACAGTGTATTATACATATAAATATGAAATAATAATATGATAAACTAATATAAATATAAATATTTATTATACATATTAAATTTGTTAACGTACCCCTTTGAAAATGTGTTCACTCCTTGAATGTTGATTTAACATTTGTGTTTGTACCATGCACGATTGATAGAAAAGTGTGCAGAATTATGAGGGATCTTGGGACAGAGAGAGAGAGGGGGACAGAGAGAGGGGCATGTAGAGGGTGTGTGAGAGATAGAGAGAGAGAGAGAGAGAGGTGGAAGAGAGAGGGAGGGGTAGAAAGGGAGAGGGAGAGAGAGAGAGAGAGGTGGAAGAGAGAGAGAGAGAGAGAGAGAGGGATGGAGAGGAAGAGAGAGAGAGAAAGAGAAAGAGAGAGAAAGAGAGACAGAGAGAGAGAGAGAGAGAGAGAGGGGAGAGAGAGTTGGGAGAGCAAAGAACGACATAGATACATAGAAATGATACCAATGAACAGGTGAAAGATGGTGTGAGCAAAATGCATGGAAAGTACGGGGCAGTGTAAATAAATGAAGAAAAAGATAGATACATTAAATAAATGGTAAGACATATACCATCAGCAATACAAAGAGTGTTATAGAAGCTAAATGCTCATTGAATCGTCATGGCCAATATGTTTAAATCGAGTAGAAGATAGAAGTCACTACGGGAGATAAATAAAGACCTACGAAAGGCAAACAGAGAGACTGAGATAGAACGAGATGTAGGCCATGACGAGAGAGATAATTGGAAAGAAAGAGAGAGAGAAAGAGAGAGAGAGAGAGAAAAAAAAAGAGAGAGAGAGAGAGAGAGAGATATATATTTATATACTAAGTACAAAAATATTGGACGTGATTTATTAGTCGATCGCAAAGACTTTTGAAGAAAAAAAATTCATGTAGCCTTTTGAAAAATGCGAACACGACAATGACATATTACGCAAATCGAAAACGATTAATATAGGCGATAGTAGGCGATACAATAATGTACTGAAACTGCCCTCGAGTGGATTCTGAAAGACTTTGCAATCGTTAAAAAGGGAAACAAAATCTGTATTCACCTTATCAAAGCCATGTTGTAAGACGGTAGGAGACACCTGTGATATGCATTTACCCTCGCATTGGTTCACCTGAACTCGTTTCCGACATCGAAGAGTTCTTTGAAGGTTATCGTCCACCACCTCGACATCTATGGTAGTCTCGCCGTGTGACAGCTCACAAGTCTCGCCATCCGCGAGAGAGCTGACGCGAGAAACGCTTCCCGCCCCACAGAGTAAGACGACGAGAAGTAACAACATGGCGTACAGCCAGATGCCAGGTGGTTTAGGCGTGAACTGTGAAGAAAAAAAAGAGGGAGAAAACTTTCAAAATTAACATTCGGGCTACTACTACTACTAAAAAAAAATAAAAAAATTAAAAAAAAAAAAAAACTACGATAATAAATGTAGTGTAGGTACATGTACTTAATACTAATATTACTACTACAACGGCAACCAACTATTACTACAACTACAACTACTACTGCTGCTATTGCTACTACTACTACTACTACCACAACAACTACTACTACTTCGCTAGTGAGTGTGAAATTGGGTGTTTTACAGACGTGTATCAATCGATCAGATATGACTATTCACGTCTGGGACCATCCGAAAGACGTGACTCAGTTTCGAACCTGCGTTTGTAACTTCCATTTATGGCTGAATCACAGGTGCACGCCACAACGCTATTACCACCACTACTACTACTACTACTACTACTTCTACTACTACTACTACTACTACTACTACTACTACTACTACTACTACTACTACTACTACTCCAAGTACTTACTACTACTGCTAGAATTATCATGAGCACTACTACTTACTACTTCTGCTAGAACTACTCCCGCTAGAAGAACTACTACTTCTACTACTACTACTTACTGCTCCTGCTGGTACTACTACTGCTACTACTACTACTACTACTACTACTACTACTACTACTACTACTACTACTACTACTACTACTACTACTACTAATCCTACTACTGCTAGTGCTACTACTTCTACTACTGATACTACTGTTGCTAGCACTACTACTACTACTACTACTACTACTACTACTACTACTACGACTACTACTTCTATTATTAATACTTCTCTACTACTTCTCTACTTCTAATACTACTACTACTACTACTGCTAGTGCTACTACTTCTTCTACTGCTACTACTATTGCTAGCACTACTACTCTACTACTACTACTACTACTACTACTACTACTACTACTACTACTGCTGCTACTACTACTACTACTACTACTACTACTACTACTACTATTACTAGTACTACTACTCAGTACTACTGCTAGTACTACTACTCGGTACTACTGCTAGTACTATCAATATTACTACTAGCGCTACAACAACGACTAAGATTAAAATATGAGTGACATAAAATAAAGCATCATTTGAGAGAGCATTTAGCCTTATTAACTGATTTTGAGTGTCGAATATGCTGGAACAAATAGTCAATCGACGTCCATTTTTTAAACGAGTGTTTCATTTGGAAATAATCTAAGGTTGCATTTGTGATTAAACGTGAAATGGTGCCAAAACGAAGAAAAACTGGCTACTAATAATACCGGGGCATTGAACTATACTACAATGTGCTTTCAGCTCGTCAATCATGAGACTTGTCGGGGGTGACGGTCGAGGAATATTAATCACTTTAATTATGGAGTGAGTCTGATTGGTGATTCATGGCTTCAACTAATTCAATCATCGTGATCATCACAATACAAGGAGGGACAAAGACAATTTTAATTAAACGATGCGGAGGAGAATATGGGATGACTAATTAATAAGGTAGCAAAAACTAAAGCAAATAAATCCAAATGTACATAAGAATACCAAAAGGTCTGTCCTTGTTGTTGTTATTGTATTTGTTCTTTTGGTTCTTGTTGTTGTTGTTATCGTACGTGTTGTTGTGGCTGTTGTTGTTATTGTACTTGTTGTTATGGCGTTTGCTGTTGCTGTTATTGTACCGGTTTTTGTAGATGTTGTTGTATTATGTCTCAATACACCCAGGTAACGTAATATTTATGTATTTTTGGTACAATATACAAGCTTGAATTAAGGATTTTAATTTATTCTCAAGGAATAGCCTATCCTTTCTTTATGATCCAGATAATACAATCTTTGAATTTAGCACAAGATTTGGTTCGAATGATAATACAAACATTCTCTAACGCTATCCACGAGGAAAACGAATCCCCAAAATATTCATGATTTCGAATTGAGTTCATTTGTAATTGAGTATTAAAATGACAATAGTTTCAAAGCATTGAATCAACTCCCCTTAATTTCACGCGTGAATGTTCCAAAAGAGCTGAGGACCCTGCACAGTGAAAGGAATTAATCATGCTATCATAGCTTACAATAGCGTTCTGTTGAAATTGAGCAGATATTGAGCAGTAATAACAAGATCTCAAATACATCGAATAACCAACACAAGGGCAATTTCAATACCCCATTCTACATCATAATAATGGAAGTCATGTTCGGACTACGTAATACCTCAGATGTCAAATATGTTGTCAAATTGAATGGAAGAAAATAAATATTCATTTGAATTGAATTGAATTGAATTGTCATGTTAGTACAATGCAATAGGTCATGCACGAGCTTATTGCTCTGGGTGGGTTTTTTTTAAAAGTAATTGCGATTGTGTTTAATGCATTCTAATCAATTTATCACACCATGCCGTCTGCACACTCCGACATCTTCTTTGGTTATCATTTTAATGAATCTACTCACTTGTATTTCACCAAACGGAAATACACCCCTTTCAATAAATCTACTTCACAGAGTAATGATAAAACACCAACAAAACCTGTATATCAGGTGATGCTGACCGCAAAATTATATGTACAGTGCGAGACAAAGACAATACATTCTAAACATGGAACATAAATATCAGTACAAGTATCTATTTCCACGTCATCGTATTCATTCATGCAAATAGTTTGTGCACCATCTCCAATTACAGGAGGATATTCTTACCAAAATGATAACTTTAGCTAAACGACATGTGGACATTTCGTTCGAAGTAGCTTCCGGCATCATATAATGTCATATTTTTCCAGGGTATAGAGTGGCAGTGTTTTATTAAAGGACATTAGTACCATGCCAGGACTCGAACCCATGACCTTAGTATTTCATGTGGACTGTTAATAAACTACTGAGCCACAAGTAACTTAAATGCCATGAGTGTCTACCTGCTATTCTCAACAAAATTCTTAGATACTCTACGAAGACTTAACATAATTATACGTGGCAAGTCAACTGCACGGTAAAATTAGGAGCTACAAACCTGGGAAGAAAACTTCGTGTAGATGTCGGTCGATTACAGTTCGGTCGTTTACAACTTTGTCACTTTTTTACAGCAATCTACAGTTGTACATCAAGGTGAACAAGTTATTGTATAGTTCGATGAAACCTCCTTAACGTCTTGAGGTGAGGAAGACAAAGTGAAATAAACTAAGCAAGTCGAAACCTGAACAAACGCTAATTGCAGTCACGCCAATAATATTTCACGTAGTCGTTTTTTCTCTTGTACTCTACAAAGATAAACATGCAATTCCTATTTGGTAGTTCTTGACTGGCATAGCCGGTCAGTAGCGTTAAGATAATTATACACCACGCACATCCAAACGAAGGCAAATCATCAAGCGAGTCAAAGCGAATAACTTCTCAAATTGCACGAATGATCTCATCCGATTCAATAAATAAAAGAAGTTTCGAAATGAGTGAGACGATGACGTCATTGGCATCGATGTCAGCTTGAGATGCAACCTTTTACAATTAGCCATGCAATGAAGAGTGATGCAAGCAATTCTGATCATGTGATCATGGCGGGTAAACGTCTAATCGGACCAGATGAAGTGAACAGATTAAAACGATCTAATTTAAGAAAGAATCACCTGTCCAATCCTGAATGCGATCGTTACAACTTCTCGATCTTGCTTGACACACTGAAAACAAGTAATGATGGGTGAACCTTGAGATTTAAAGATGAGAGTTCAAATTCAGATCAATATATTTAAATAAATCCGCCCCTCAGTGGGTGCAATTGAAACAGCACCTTGTGGGAAATGAGGCAATCTTGACAAGTTTCCAGCGATGTCCATTCAGCACCGGATTTCTGAATCACGATTAGTCCGTTTAATCACGTCAATACACAATGATCAATAAAGGCAGACAAATTATTCTTCTCAATCGTTTTACTCTTTTTCTCTACAGACATGGTATTTAAAACCGTTTCTTTGAGATGTTTTCATTTCGGTTCCAACCACAGAAAATCAAATTGTGTTCATATTTTGTGCATGAATACATTTGAAAAGACCCGTCTGGCCTTGAGTCCAGCCACAATTCTTTTTCTAGTTTTCATGGAGAGGATACTCAATCAACGAATTCTTTGACAATATCCACCTCAACTCTTTATCACTATAAAAATAGATTTACGTCGCCATTTCTTCCGTGAAAACATTTACCCATTTTTGTTTTCGTCAGGAAAATATGACTATAGATATCAAGTAATTCAAGTAAACATGGGCACACATTTAAAAAAATATAATATTTATGTTTTTTAATTATCTCCAAGTTTTGTCAATAATACAGTTTGTCTTGCTCCTTCACTATGTATCATTTGGACAGTGTTCGATATAGCCATGATATAGCTAATGGTATGTAGTATTTGGCCTACTGCCAGAAAAAAGCCATCTTATAAAACACTTTGTCTCGGATGCTTGCAACGAACTTTGTCAAGGTCAGCTGAAGGTCATGAGATCCTTATATTGCAGGTCTGACAAATCAAGAGAAAAGGATCAAGAAGATGAGATGAGAATAAGATAAGATGAAAAGAAGATGAGATGAGAAGAAGATGAAAATAAGACAATATCTAATTAGGAATTCAAAAGTGTAATAGGAATATGTCGTCCAATTAATAACAGTTGAAAAGTGTAATGATTAAAACCTCTAATACAAAACAATCAGTGTAAAATAGGGTGTCACAACCGAATGGGACATCAGACATAAAACTAAAAAAGTTGTAAAGAGTTATATTTTTGTTATTATATAGTGTACACCCGTTCTTTCAAAAACCGCCCTTCAAAACATACTAAATTACGCATGAAATAACTGCAAAAAAGTATGTCCCGATACCCAACGCGATAAATATCTCTCGTGTTGATTTCAATGTTCTTTTATTCAATCCTTGGTTCTCTATTCAGCCTAAGAGGTAAACTTCAAATTGTTCTTGAAATATAATCATAGCAGCGTTACTTCATTACAACTAACGTCACGATGGTCTGCCCGTTTATGGCTATTTTGAGAAGACTTGTTTTAATTGAACTTTGTGTTGATTATCCAACATTTTGCCTCCACCCCTCTCTCTCTCTCTCTCTCTCTCTCTCTCCCTCTCCCTACATTAAACTGACTAAAAATGAATGGGAAAGTTGAAATAAAGTTCTTTCTTTATTATCGAAAAGCCACTATTCTGTTCGTAGCACTTTGTAAATGGTTAGCTCTAGAGCTACTTAGAATCCAAATAAATCCTATTCGCATACAAAGATTTCTCTCCCTTTCCTAACTCATGAAGTAAACTCACACGGAGAGGATTGGTGAGTAATTCCCTTGGTTTCAAGCCTGTGATGAAAGGAAAATCTAATTGGTTCTGTTATTGATCGTGAATGTAATAAAATTAAATGTTTGCAGTTGAGTGGCATAGTTGGGCATTGCAGTTCAGATGGTGATTCAGAAATGTGCTTTCACTGTGTATTCACATGTTCGCGTTAAGTTACAATAATGAGTTATGAGGCTAAAGCACGTAATTTGTACGATGATTGGAGTTGTGGTCTAGTGGACGCGTCACTGGACTATGGATCACATGGTTCGCGGTTCGATTCCCGATGCGAACATTTAATCAATATATCTACAATATCTACAATTCATGGGATGGAACGCCCTGATCAGCACATCTTGTTTTTGCAAAGGTGTCCACTAGTCGGAAGATGGAAAGCAGTCTGCCGATATAATTTGTATTGCTGAGCATATGGAGACGTTTAATAACAGTTTGCCTTTAAAAATGAAATGTTCCCAATCTTATATGTTTATAGTCAGTGCATATCCTCTGAAACCTTGGAAGTGCAAGCTTACTATTACCATGGTTTTACTGGAATGATTTTCCTCTTACTGTTGAATGAATCAGCAAACTGGTAAAATGGTGGCTAGAAAATACGGTAGAAATGGCAAATTCATGCATTGAAGTATCATTTACCTAATAACATGCATAAGTAAGAATTTCAAATGATATTCACCTTTATTCATTTTCTTTATCGGTACTATGTTGTACGCATTGAGATCAGTTCAGTAAATAATTAAGAAACAAGAAGAAGACAAAGACGGCTTGGTTTGGGAACGCCCATGACATAAAACCAAAAGTAGATTTTTACTCATGAAGTGTATCGTCTGATAACGATAATTTGAATTTATTTGTTTTTTGTTAACTTATTCTGTATTTCTAGTTTTTTTTCGATGAAAAACATTGCGCACTTATGGCGAATAATCTACCTTTCTAATGGGGGTATGTGACGTTTATGACGAACAGATTTTTCTTCTTCAAAATTCCAGCGTCAACATGGCGGTGTTGCACTATGTGAGAAGGTCGCTTTCATTATCGTGAACTAATTGAAATAGCATGGTAAGCCAAACCCCCCCCCCAAAAAAAAAAAAAGAGCAATATTTTTGTACGTGCAAATAAAATGGCACCTGAGTGCAACTAGAGACAAAAACGTATTCACTTAGCTCTGCGTTTTAAGATACGGAAATGTATTTAAAAAAACACCAAAAACGCCGCGGTTATACGACGTCATGTCTTTACGAGGCTCAACCTTTAAGCCTTAGCTGTCAACCATCAGATCCATGGGATTATACACATTAAACTTGAACCAGAGGATTACATGTCTTCATAATGAGCAGTGATATGAATTTTTGATTGGTGTTACGGAAGTCTGGATTTCCTTCTGTGATGGCCTATATATTTCGTATCGTACGAGTACCTTTTTTATCGTTATGAACAGAGAAGTGGTGCTGATATCTGGAGGGGCAAGGGAGTATGTGCCCCCAATCGGGTGGTGAAATAATAATTGTCATATTTGTATAAGGCTTAATGTTATGTTTCTATTCGCTTTACATTGTAATTATTATTACCCCTGTCATTGTAGTTGATTGCAAATCCACATAACACATGATAGTGCATACGCTCCGCTCTCTGTGCAGTATTCATGCCAGGCGCCATTTTACAAGAGCACACATTCCAATTCAACCTCATTAATGTTCGCATCCAACCGGGTATTAACACCTGGGTGGAGAGTGGCAAAATGTAGATTAATGTCTCGCAAAAAGGACATCAGTGACAGGCTTAACGCTACGCCACTGGTAAAGATAGAGAGAGAGAAGGGGGAGGGGGAAAATAGAAACAGAGAAAAGAGTAAGAGAGAGGGAGACACACAGAGAGAGCGAGAGCGAGAGAGAGAGAGAGAGAGAGGTGTACAGAGAGAGAGAGAGAGAGAGAGAGAGAGAGAGGGGGGGGGGGGGGGGGGGAGAGGGAGAGGGAAGGGGGAGAGAGAGAAGGGGAGGGGGAGAGTACCGTTTCTTGTGGTGACACGTCACATTCAGAAATCACGAGGAAAAAGCAGAAACTTTGATTAAAGTAATTAGATATTGAATTGTTATAAAGTCATTATCACAACAATGTGACCTTGTTTATTTCAGAAGAAATTATGATGTTGTTCGTCTTACCTCATTTTTTGTTGAACATAACAACGCGTCGTTTAAATTATTTGTTACCATAATCTAGCGAAAGATTATGGATTACAAAAAGTAATTACATAAACACATAATAAATAGTTTTATATAAAAAACATTCATACCTGAAAGATGCTTAACATACAGAAAATATCAAAGTTTTAGATAAATCGATCATTTAGATCATAATTCTCAGAAGAGATTGTCCTTTTTCTGATCATGTAAAAACACTTACATATTTCTTCATTGATACATTTTTCTCAATACATGCAATTTTTTTCGCTTCAAGCCATCCATATGAAATCATTGCTGTGCTATTAGGGACTTTTCGATTTGTGGACTGCGACGTATGTGGTCACTTTTGAAGCAGTGCGCATGCGCATCGACGAGCTCATCGTTCATAGCAGAATTCTCGAACGCGTTCGCCCTTGTTTTGCCGTCGTTCGCAAACTGTGACGAGACATGTTCGTAAACAATCTTTTGTAGGCACGAAACATCACATTGAAGTCACTAAATGGACCCAATTGACCTAATTCTAGAACTGGAGAGTGGTGGAAGCGTGAATTCTCTTAAATGAACACATTTTCGTGTCTGTAATTTCCATTAAATCAAAATTGTTGCAGGATAATTCATAAAATGAACACATTTTATTTGTGCATCGCCAATCTGTTGCAGCATAATTTTCGAGATTAGTCCCATGCACCGAATTTGGTGTGTTGAATCTTTAGCTTTTCGATCGAATTTCGCGCTCACTAAGCAGAATAATTCATAAAGTGAACACATTTTAGTTATGCAACGCTAATCTGTTGCAGCATAATTTTTTAGAACAGTTCCATGCACCAAATTTGGTGTTATATCTTTAGCTATTCGATCCAGTTTCGCGCTAACTAAGCGAGCGTCGTAGTTGTGTAACATCGGAAAGGTAACGAACAACGTACAGTCAGCGTGCCTCGTCAACCCTGCTTTAAAATGACCGCATACGTCGCAGTCCACTTATGAACGTGCATATCGAAAAGTCCCTATTGTTTTAAAGCAGTAGCCATACACCGTAATTCATCGATGGTTTGTTGGTGTAATCGGTCGCGTCATGACTGACGTGTTATCACCTCATTAACCTTACACCATGCCTAACTCTATTGGCCTAAGAGCACAATTATTTCGCTAGCTGGGGGTGGCCGATGTCCTGTTTGTCCAGGTAAAATGTCAATTTTTGTCATACTAGATATGAACATTGAGAAGAGTTGACCTCAGAGATACAAATCAGGCGAATTCCCGAGATAATGGAAATTTCAAAATTCTCAGGCGGAACTGGGAAAGCTCTAAAGGCCACCCTCCCTGCCA